GATGGGATCCGGTGGGGGGGGGCAGCAGCGTGGGGGTGGGCTGCTCTGCCCTGCGCAGACCAGGGCTGCAGCTTCCCCCTGCGCCCAGCTCCGCGCGGCCCTCGAGCCCCGAGGTTCACCTGCTGGTGTGGCTTTTCATTCAGCAGTTTAGGTCGTCTCGGTGTGACAAGCTGCAACAGGAGCTGGAAGTTCTTATCTGTTTCTGTTGCTTTCGTTATTTGTTTGTTTTTCTGGAAGAAGGAGAAGCTATTGGACTTTCTCAGTTTCTCCGCCTGCTTAGTCATAGCTCCTTAAAATCAGGCTGTTTTTCACAAAAGCTGAGATATTGAGAAAATTCAAATTTCCTGTGTGGTCTCATATGGAAAAATCTCTTTAGTTTTTAGATTGTAGCATACTGAAAATACACTTTCTTGCAAAGCGTTTGCCCTGTTCCGCTGTGGTCTCACGCTCCCACAGCCACTCAGTTTAGAAGTGGATTCCTCGTGATGGCAAGATGTCCCTTTGCCCCCCTGCATCCCAGAAGGCGCCGAAGGGTTTTGGTGCCCGGAGGTTGAAATGTGTGATGCGTCGTCTCGCCATGGATCAGCGGGTGCTTCATCTTGTTCGCCGCAACAGCTCGTGTTTGTGAGTGTTGGGCATCATCCTGCCGGCCCGATGCGACGGTGCTGGGGCTGGCTCGGGTGGGCAGACCCACGGGGTAGGGGAGGCTCCCCCAGTGCGTGTCCGTGGGTGCCGCAGCAGGCTTTGGGAGGGGACATGAGCTGCCCGACAGCCACGCTCCAGCATTCGGGGCTGTTTGCGTGTTAGATGAGGGCTACGAGGATGAGGAGGGGACTGGAGCATCTCCCCTACGAGGAGAGGTTGAGGGAGCTGGGCTTGTTCAGCCTGAAGAAGAGAAGGCTGCGAGGGGACCTTATAAATGCCTACAAATATCTGCAGGGTGGGGGTCAGGAGGATGGGGCCAAGCTCTTTTCAGTGGTGCCCAGCGACAGGACAAGGGGCAATGGGCACAAACTGAGGCACAGGAAGTTCCGTCTG